CACAGGCGGCACGTGTGGAGGTGTTCTGTGCACAGGTGACCTGTGCACAGGCGAGCGCCTGTGCACAGGCGGACTGCTCCTTCCCACGCGTAAGCGTAGATCCACGTCCACTTGTGTTCGCCGGTCCGCGGAGGCTCGTCCGTCCGCGGAGGTTTGCCTGTGCGCAAACGGAACATCTGTCCGCATCGCACGTGGTAACTCCGGAGGCCCTTGGCCCGTAGGCGGCCTCTCTCCCGACGAGGTTGCAGCGTGGCCCGCTGCTCCTGCGGTCGTCCGCGCTTCCTCTCGTCTCTCTGGCGACGCACTTCCTATCTCCGTCGCAATCGTCGCCGTGTCTGCACTGTCAGCTGGCAACACCAGTCTGCGTGCCTTCTGCTTCGGCCGGCTGTATGGCTCGCACAGCGGCCGCGGTCGAATGGGAACAGAGAGTTCTTGATGTTGCTCCTCTTCGGCCTCTTCCCTCCATCGCCGCTTCCGCGGCACTCGCGCTGCAGGGGTGTGTCTCCCTTCGTCTCTCCGTCTTGATGGGGTAGAAGTCGGTGACTCCTCCGCATCAGTGTCGACCTCGTTCTCCCGCACATACTTCCCGGGATGGTCGATGGACAATGGCGGAAAATGTTCAAGCTCCGCCGCTGTCAAACAATTCCGCTGTCGATAAAAATTGATGAGGAAAGGAGAAAGATGGTTTAGCGTTCCCCCCTTCTCCTCAAACGCGTGCTGTCGCATCACTCTGTGCAGGATGCTCGCCCAGTGAATTGGAGTTCCCTCGATGACGCACTCCACAAAAGAGACCTGCCACAATGTGATGTAGCAGGCGCGGTGCGGCTGCAGTAATTGCATCAGCGCCGCGGACAAAGTCCGGCGAAATCGATCTTTGTAATCACGGGTCCTGTACCCGTTCTTGGTAGACCTCCCGGTCTTGAACAGCTCCACAAATTGCGCTTCTTCTTGCTTGGTCACCTTGATGCTCTCGCTGTCGAAAAGGAGATGCCCTGGCATGCCAGCACATCTTCCCAACGCATGCGCCCAATCTTGGACTGTCCACCGGTCAACATGCGGACGCAATCCGCGCGAGGGTGGTCCCTGTGGCTCTAGCCACTCGCGCACCATATTCGCGCAGATGTAATTCCATCCCCATAGCAAGAAATCGAGCTTTCTTGCTATTAAGCGCTCTTCGAAAGCGCGCAGCCCGTTCTGCGGCAGGCGAAGTGGCACCATCCGCAATCTGTTCGGTCTCGTCATTGCGTTCCTGGGGTTCGCTCGCCCGCTCATTCTACTTCCGCACTGTCCGCGTTTCCTTCTCTCTCGGCAAACTCTAATCGCTCTCAATTCCAAATCACGCGCACTCACTTCTCCCTCAATCAACAAGAAATCTCCTGTGCGACGACGACGAGAATGGTCCGCAGCCAGCAGATGGATGCGCGCAGCGCGCACAAGAGATTGGAATCGCGAATTCAAGAATGGGACGCTCTCCGCCGCCCGGTCGAAGGTCATGGTCGTCTCTTGGTCGTGAAGAACGTCTCACTTGATGGCCGCGCCGGCGGTACGCTGGAACGGTCTTCGCTCTCACGCGCGGCTTCACGCTCCGCCGTCGTCGATTAAACTCTCACGCTCGAATTGGCGGATTTGAACTCCGCGAGCGTGTCACCCTCCGGACATGGGGGCGTAGCGCCGAAGGCGAGTTTTCCGCCTTGCGCGGTACACTTGTTCGTACCGCCCCTCGGCCAATCTCCTTCTGCCTTGACGCGTGCGTCCGCATGTCGGACAAAAATTCAACTCCTGCCTGTGCGCAGGCAGGGGCCTCGGCGGATTCTCCGCCGGCGCGGAACTTGAACATCCTCCTGTGCACAGGCGTTCGCCTGTGCGCAGGCGAATTCCGTCCGCGGCGCTGCGCTGGCGCGGAAGGCGTTGACCGTGGTCAACCGTCTCCGTCCAGTCTGTCCGTTCCTTGTCTCTCCGTCGGCGCTTCCGCCGCCGCAACTCCGTCCGTCCAAGAGCGCATCCACCCGTGCCGTCCGCATGGTCCGTACCTATTGGATTACTCTGGCGGCTCTTCCGACGTACGCTGCGCTGCGCTGGCGCGGAAGGCGCCGTACACTTTCTACCTCACAAGGCGCATTTCTAGGGCCCAAGGCGGATCTCCCGCCGACGCCGAAGTGCCTGTGCACAGGCGAACGCCTGTGCGTAGGCGGACTTCGCGCCTTCCCTAACCCTACTTCGCCTGTGCACAGGCGAACGCCTTCGTCCGCGCATAGGACAAAACTTGAATCCCCCTTCCGCGCAGGCGGAATTCGCGCCGGTGGCGAACTCCTTCCGCCGCAGGCGACCGCCTCCGTTTCTTCCAGTAGCGATAACTCCCTAAGTCCTCGTCCGTTCCAAGCGTTCTTGGGCTCGTTGGAATCAGCGCGTCGAGCTCTTTCCAACGGGATCCGAACTTGGTCAAGGCGCCCGAGGGTTACCTAATTACGAGGGTTTCCCTACAGCCGCGGACGCAACCTCCGAAGGCGGGTTTTGCGCCTTGCGCCGTAGAGATCCTAACTGCGGAGCTCGCAGGGAGGGTGGTGCCTGACCTTACTACTGCACCCCAAATCCCAAATTCTACAAGATCCCTTGAGAATCCCCGCGATCTTCCGGATTCACTCTGTTTTGATGTACCGAAGGCTATTTACAATGCTGCCAGGGTACAGTTTTCCAAAAATGTTTTAATTTCCTCAAAATTGCCAAAAGTGGGGTACCACAGCGGAGGTCCTGACCGACCTCCGAGTTGTGCTTTTTGCCAGTTTCAGGTGTGTGTGTGTGTGTTGAGTGACCACGCTGTACCGTGCATCCTCCGAGCATCCTCCGAGTCGAGATACTCCTCCGAGTCGAGCCTCCGAGTCGAGCACTGCAGTATTTCTGGGAGTGACAGTCGCCTAGAATTCAAACTCTACAAAAGTCTGTTAAAACGTGACACTTTTACTCTGTGTGTTGCCTCTGTCCCTGTGGGTTCGATCTTTTTACCACCATACTGCAGTTTTAGCCTTTGGTGGATTATTACAGCCACCATGTATTATTAGATCTTCAAGGTCTCGGAACAAACATGTGAGCCGTGCTTTCAAGTCCAGAACAGCCCAATCCATTGCAGAACCTTGGAAGAGGCAGCCATGTAATTTCAGATCTTCAAGGTCTCGGAACAAACATGTGAGCCGTGCTTTCAAGTCCAGAACAGCCAAATGCCTTGCAGAACCTTGGAAGAGGCCGCTGTGAGCACAAAACTGTGCTCACATGTCTTTTTAACCCTGTGAGAGTTAAAGTTTTAGATTTAAGCTCTTGCAAAATTATGCTCGGAGTTTTCTGGAAGTTTTGGTAAGATTAGGAGTTGGTGTAATTGCTAGTAGGCAAAGGTCCGGAACGGGGCTTTCAGGGCAGGGTCTCCGGCGAAGAGCCTTCGGTGAAGTTCCTTCGGGGAAAGGCCTTCGGCGAAACAGTGAAACCCTCATAACGTTTTCAATGTGTGACGCCTTGACTCATTTAGTGTTTCCTTGGAAAGAGCTCGCAACGCTCATTCCAACGAGACCAAGAACTCTTCAAACGGATGAGGAGTCACTGAGTTGTGAGTGTCGGAAGTTACTGATGGGAAGGGTTGAGGCAAGTCCGGCTACGAACGTCTTCGGCTCCGGACGTCTCCGGCTGCGAACGTCTTCGGCTCCGGACGTCTCCGGCTGCGAACATCTCCGGCTTCGGACGACTTCGCGACAACTGCGAGCAGGCCTTCGGCGAACTCGGGGTCGGCGAACTCCGAGCCGGTGAACATCGTGCAAGGGCCATCGGCGAACCAGTAAACTCGGCATATCTTTTTTATTTGTTAACGGTTTGATTTGATCAGGGTCTTGTTGAAAAGAGCTTGCGACGCTCGTTCCAACGAGACCAAGAACTCTTAAAACGGATAAGGCGTCACTGAGTTATGAGCGTCGAAAGCGGCGGATAGGGTCGGAAGACATCGAACCGGAAGACATCGAACCGGAAGACATCAAACCGGCGAACATCGTGCCGGCGCCTTCGGTGATAACAGGTAACAGGCCTTCGGCGAAGGGTAAAACAGACATAACTTTCTCAATTCATAACGGTTTGACCCAGTTAGGGTCTCATTGGAAAGAGCTCGACCTGGTCGTTCCAACGAGCCCACAAACTTGTGAAACGGAGCTAGGATCTGTGAGTTACGGGTGTCGGGAGTGACTGTTATGGATAAACAAAGGTGTGGTCGTGCGTCTTCGGCGGGTGGATGCCTTCGGCGGTGCGCGGAAGAAGATTCCCTCCGGCGGAGATTGGGTGGTCAGGAATGTAGAATGTGCAGGTGTGGCAGCGGCGGCGGCGTGAAGTCAAGTGGGGAAGGCAAGACGACGGTGCATGTAGTAGTCGCGCAAGGGGAGTAGGCAGCTACCCATCATTGCGAGTGTTGCATTTTAGGCGGGCTGTGGGTGTCTCGGCCTTGGACTTCGAAGTGGGGAGTTCGGCCTGGTAACTGAGAGCTTGTGGTGTACCAGGGTGTGGAGACGGAGGTGGGATCGGTCGTGGAATAGAGTGTGGGTGTGAGTGATTTTTCGCAGGGAAGTGGTGAGAATTAGGAGGGGAGTGTGGAGAGTTTGAAGTAGGAGAAAGCAGACTCTCGTGGGTGAAGAGTCGTATCTGAGAGTGAAGTTGAAGTGGAATCTGAGATTGAAGTGTAAAATCTGTGAGTGGGAGCTGAAATCATAGTGGAAGATCTGAGAATGGGAGCTGAGAGTGAAGTGAAATCTGAGACTGAACTCTGACAGTCGGGATCTGAATGGGAAACTGCAAAGGGAGAGTTGAATCCAAGAGAGGAATCTGGTGGGGTCTGAAGGTGAAAGCTGAGAAATCGACACTGAAATCTGAGTAGGAATTGGGAGTGGAACTGGGATCTAGGAAAGCCCACAGCGGCTGTAGTGTTGAGGAAGTCACCCAGAGTTGGGTTAAATCTTTATGTAACAAAGAGCTTGTCTGATGCTCTTGTGAAAATCGCAGAAAGCAAGTTATTATTTTCAGTTCTGGATAATTTGTCTGTGAAAGAGCAAGTGTTCATGATCTTGTTGTCTTGGATACACTGTGAGTACATGGCTTGTGATCAGCGAAGTTAGATTATGGGAGCTCGAACCCCCACCTGGACTACAAACGCTGAAGGGTGGGAAGGTTTGGCTCACAGCCGCCATGTAATTTCAGATCTTCAAGGTCTCGGAACAAACATGTGAGCCATGCTTTCAAGTCGAGAACAGCCCAATGCATTGCAGAACCTTGGAAGAGGCCGCCATGTAATATCAGATCTTCAAGGTCTCGGAACAAACTGACGGTTGTTGGCAAACATGTGAGCGGTGCTTTCAAGTCTCGAGCAGCCAAATGCCTTGCAGAACCTCTGTCGATCAAGTCACGAAGTCTACGACAATAGCTAAATTTCAGATGATGAAGACTTGGAAGTTGTACGAATGTTTCGGGAAGACCTTGGAAGAGGCCATACTTCCTTCTGCAAGCCTTCGGCCATACTTCCATCTGCAAACCGCGTGACCTCCATGTTGATAAGTGAGCTACAGAGGTGTGTGACGATTGTAGGCCATGAAAGAGTATGTCGTCGTCGTCGTCGAGCATGGATTCAACTCCTGGCTTGTGAAGTTCGTATACAGAGTCGCTTAACTGATATAACAGATGCAGATCAGCAATCAAACAACGTGGACAGATCTTACATATGTGTATTGTGCCACATGTGCACAATACACGAGTAGGTTTCGTAAATATTTTGTACGTAGGCACCCTTTGAAGTTTGTTCATTCCCTCGATGATCAAAGTTTGCAGTCGTGGGAGCTGGCCGGTCGAGCTGGGCAATGCTTCAAGTTTATGACAAAATCGAAGTTCCAAAAATCGCAGCAGTGAGAGCCGTCCGAAAGCTTCGGGGAGTGAACGAAGTCTACGACAATAGCTAAATGTCAGATGATGAAGACTTGGAAGTTGTACGAACGTTTCCGGAAGACCTTGGAAGAGGCCGCCATGTAATTTCAGAACTTCAAGGTTTCGGAACTCGCAGACGGTTGTTGGCAAACATGTGAGCGGTGCTTTCAAGTCCAGAACAGCCAAATGCCTTGCAGAACCTCTGTCGATCAGGTCATGAAGATTGTTCACTTCTCCACGCCATCGAAGAAGTACCAAGTTCGTTGGAAGCTTGCCACCTTTTTCATCCAACCTCAACTCCTTCTCGGAATCCAAATATCGCAGCTTCTTCATCTGGCAAATATCTCTCCAGGTGAGGGACATCGAGTCTTCAAGTCGTAGCGCCATGACCTCCTGCACCAAAACACACAGGGCCTAGTTCACATCCCAGGCCACATATATAGTATATGATGTAAACTTGATCCAGCAGACTTGTGGCATGTCATTTGATCAGGGCCATCGATTCTTTAGGTTGTAATATGATTACATCCTTCACAAGAAAGCCCAAATTGAGTGAGGAGAAGCTTCCGTAGAAGATCACAGGCTCAACAGAAACCAAGAATATGACGATTTGTTCGTAGGCTAGGATGCTTGTGGACGGAAAGCCAACAAGACGCTGCTAGTTTATTCAAAGTCCAGCTAGGAGAAGTTCCTGGAAGTAAACTATCTGAATGTGGAATATGATTGGAATATGCAAAATTGAACAAGGCATAAGATAGTGAACAGACTAAGTGTGGGTGAGAGGTTCTTCACTTCCTCCTCACGTAAACCAGTTGTAAAAAAGTTGTGTGTAGGAGAGGTGTGTGCACCTTCGCCTAATTGTCAAGGCGTAGGATTCACCGCGCCAGACTTGAGGTGAAGGACGGGGAAGTTGCAAGGGCTCAATGTGTCATGAGAAGGTTTTATAAGAGCTAGGTCAGGATGGGCAAAACCAGTAGTGATGTGTGGCGATTACAGTACTTGATGAATGGCTTGAGAAGTTGGAAACAGCAAGAGGGCTTTCAATGACATAATGATAGGAAAGTCGTTGGATCCCTGAAGAGAGTTTAATGGACTCACAAATCCAATACGTTGACTGATAGGAAGGGCAGTGAATTTTTGAAACGAACGCGTACAAGAAATCAAGAGAAAAAATTAGCAAAACAAAACTGACTAAACAATGATGTGCCTCAATGAATGACATAATGATAGGAAAGTCGTTGGATCCCTGAAGAGAGTTTAATGGACTCGCAAATCCAATACGTTGACTGATAGGAAGGGCAGTGAATTTTTGAAACGAACGCGTACAAGAAATCAAGAGAAAAAATTAGCAAAACAAAACTGACTAAACAATGATGTGCCTCAATGAATGATCTACATAAATATATATCCGACGTTTCCAATAACTCTAGTGTAAAGACGGAACTTTGAGAGTTTTTGAATATAATCTCATACCTCAATATGCGTTTTCATACCAGTGCTTGATGAGCGATGAAGTGAATCACTTGAATAGAACTGTTCTTCTGCCATCCTTTCATTGTAATTTGAGGAATTAAACCTCGAGGGCACATTTTTCTTTGTCCAAGTTCTACATTTGCCACATGTTCCGCTTTCCGAAGCTAGTTTAGTTCCCAGAGATCTCAATTGCTCCTGCATTTGTATAATTTCTTCTTCGCCGACATCGTAGACGATAGACATATCTACTAGTTTCTGCCATAGGAGATCTTCAAAGCCATAGACCACACGCCAACAAGATTTAGCTTGTCCCAGGGTCCATGTGGAATTGTTGAAGAAAGACGCAGCAAGAAGAAATATTTCTTTCTCCCGACTACCCAAACGGTCGTAGCTCACTCTGAATTTTGCCCACAACCGTTGGTCCAATTTGACTACGTTGTCTGCCTCATCCAGAGCGACGAGTAACTGCCTCCATATGCTTTCTCTGACTTCCCTGCGCAGAGCCTTGCCCATCTCCTCCAGGGTTAACGGTAGTCCATCACATTTTGCGACGACTTTGTCTACCCATTCCGTAAGTGATGGATTTGGTTCTATTGGACAAGGAAATGCGTGGCTCAAAAATAACTCTTTGGAACTCTTGTGATTCAAGAGTTTCACATCAAATACGTATGCATCCAACCTGTTCAGAATATCTCTATCTCGAGAGGTAATAATGTAACGACTATTCGCTCAATTATTTATCCAAGAGATGTCCTTGAGAAGTTCAACATGGCTATCATTGTCAATATCATCCAGAACGAGGAGAAGGGTTTTCCGGTTCAAAGCAGTCCGTTTCCACTCCTTGTTTTCCCCACTTTCTGCAACCTGTTTGCCATTGTGATGCATAAACGAATACACTACGCGCTCTACTTCCTTGTCATCTCCCTTCAGTTTACATCCAGAAACGAAACAAGTGTATTCAAATCCAGCACACAATTCGTTAAACAACAGCTTCGCGAGAGTTGTTTTCCCTATACCGCCCATGCCGCAAAGACCTACTATTGGAGATGTGAGTAGGATGTTTTGAACCTCTACGAAGAGGTGAGAATGTATGCTCATTGCCATCTTTGGCACCCTCAGGAAATTATCAAGAAGTCTCTTCCTTTTCACCTGTATCATATCACAGTAGCCGAACGCAGTTTAGCTTTGTAGGCCACTAAGAATTTCACCCAACTAGAATGGCCTCTTGCTTGAAAGCCGCAGTTTGAAACTCTGTCGGCAGTGATCTAGTTATCGACGGACGCCCACTCTAATAAACTCGTTCTGGTTTCATGAACTTCTTTCGGCCCGCATACATCTAAAAGAGGGTCTCAAGGGCTAATCTTTGCTTCTCTTGAAGAAAAATAAAACCTGCTAAGACGGAGAACATCTTTGGGTAAGCAACCTTATTGCTTACCTGAAGATCAATACTTTGAATGAACGCTGTCAAACGTATGTAAGTCATTGAAGTCCTGCTCTCGGGCTGGCAGAGAGAGACATGATCCTCACGCTCCACCACAGTGAAGTCGCCGTACCGAGCTGAAGCCTCGACTACTATCATCTTACTGCTAACTGCGACAGCATTTTGAGACCCCGCTTCCTATACTTCCTTAACAGGTTGGAACAAACCACTGGTCAGACTCGTCATTTGAAATCCTTGTATGGTGGATGGATTTCCAAACAAAAACTGGAATTCAGCCAAGTTCATGAACCCCATCGAGATCTTTTGTAAATGAATCCAAACAATCTCATAAAAGTACTGGATTCCAAACCAAGATATGTGGATGCAGAATTGAGGGCTGCTGTTTCAGCAGGTTAAAATCAAGCCGATTACAATTAAGAACAAACATGTCACATCGTGAACGCAAATCAGCCTCACACTCACGGTAATAGTAGGTTTTGATTCTCCGACTCCAGCAATGCTCCACTTGTAGGACCGCCGTAAAACATCAAAATCTTGATGAAGGCGAGCTGATTCTGCGCAAAGCAGCTTCACATAGTCCACTAGAGGGCTAGCATCTTTCAGGTGTGTTCCATTTGGACTCAAGAAATTTGACATTCCGTGATGGGGAGTTCCATAGAAGAAAATTCCTTTGACGCAGTTGAGAAATCCAGCCATTTGTTCCTCGTTTGAGAGGTGCAAGCTTTCTCTGAAGCGCGCGCGGAGGCACATTTGTTTTATCACCAAGCCTCCGTAACCATGACCGACAAGTATAACTGGACGCCAAGGATCCTGCCCCAACTTTGCAAATATAAGATCTTGGATCAAACTTTCGGCTGTGCAGTAGAGGTCTAATCTTCCACGCTCTGCTGATGTTGTGGTACAAGCATCGTAAGTGACAGACCGAATCCGAGCTCCAGGAAACTCTTCCGGGAGCCAGGTCATCGGCCATACTTCCTTTTGCCAACCGCGTGACCTCCATGTTGATAAGTGAGCTACAGAGGTGTGTGACGATTGTAAGCCATGAAAGAGTACAACGTCCAGCAGTGATTCAACTCCTGGCTTGTGAAGTTCGTATACAGAGTCGCTTAACTGATATAACAGATGCAGATCAGCAATCAAACAACGTGGACAGATCTTACATACTGCAGCTCTGAGATTCTTAGGTTTCAAGAAATAATTGGGAATAGCGCAAACATTGATGTACGTTCCAGAACTGCTATACTGTAATTTGCATACATTATTGTGATTAGCTTACCCTCGGAACGGCAGTGGCCGAATTCGCAGGGGGCAGAGACATTGCATTTAACTTGCGTGATCGACGGCGGAAGAAGTAATCGGCGAGTATGGAGAGCATGTGATCCATTTACTTCTCCTCCTCGTCAGTAAACAACTGCTAATACAATTGCGAGAAAGTAACGTCGCTCAGAATGAACTTTGTATTTTCGCCGAATCGAAATCCCTAATCCCTCCAGACCAATACATGCAATCAGAAATTTCCTCCTCCACTAGCTGACTATGAGGTTCCTCCTCGTGTGGGTCGGTTGCCGACTTTCCTCGGGAAGACTAGCGGGCCAATGTTAACCTGCGTCCAGCTCACAGAGATGAGTGACCTCTCACAACAATTTTCACTAAAGCCACCCCAACCCTATAATTCAGGGCTGACGGCCGGGGCCTTACATACCTACACCGTTCGTGGCTCACCGTCACCGTCGTGTGAAACAGGCGAAACTCAAATGCGTAACTGTAGTCGTTTTATTGCTTCACGGCACGTAGCCGGCTAACTTTCGGCTAGCCGATGCAATCGGCTATGCGATCTACCGAAATATTCGGTCGAAATAAATAAATAATGCTTAATTTCGGCCAATGCTAAGGAAATAATCAGACGAAAACGTAAATTCGGTTTGGTTATACGATTTGTTTTCGTTCTCGGATAGTGGTGACATTATTTATCGGCTAGCGGCTAGGCGGCTAATACTTTTTGTTACACGGCACGTCAGGTTTGCCGATCCACACTCGAATCGCTTTCAGTAAGCTCGCCTGCGAACGAAGAAGAGAAAGAGAGCTCGCGGGCGAGGGTCGGATAATGGAAGCAGGCAGGCCCGATGGCGATTTCCTCTCCTGCACGTCGGGGCATTCGGGTGCCCCGACGTGCAGCGACGGATGGGCCAGCCCGCGGTCGCTTGTGTTGATCTCGTCGCAGCCGAGAAGATTCGGCCTCTCCGCTGCCTCGCGCTTCATTCGTTCGGTGATCCGATTGTGAATGTCAGTAGAGCAGGTTCCACCTTCGAAGCTGTATAAATTATCGACAAGAATGAAGAGAGGGAAGGCGAGATTCAGTCTGCGTTATCTCTCTGTCGGAATTTCCCCGTTCTGAAGTCGAGAACATTGTTCTTCAGTTTCTTCTTTTTCTTCTAGGCCTTTAGTTCGGGTAGCAACGACCACTGACCCTTACAGAATCCTTTGAAAAGATACGCATTTATGTATCGCTTCAGACGGGAAGCGTGCAAGTTAAGGCCCCAGAGAAGAGCGTTGCGAGTTTGTCAATATTGTCCTCAGCAGAATAATAAATGGTTGAATGACAATGACAGCCTTCACCGCGGTCGATTTTTCTGGGGATATGGCGCCTGTAGCTTTGTGATGTATGCCGGGTAGTGGCGCGGATCTTTCTGTATACTTGATCTTTATTCGCTCACCTACCAATTTCGTCAATTAAGTTTCCCGTTTTGTACCAGTAATTGCACGCACAGCTTGTTTATCGATCATTAGTTTTACTCTCTTGACCTCCTCCTTTTGAGTCGTTCTCAGTAGGTTCTAGTTTCACTTTTAGATATTCAACGATACTGTACAAGAGTTGAACATTTGAGCCCCGGGCAGCTCACAGTCAAGAATCTTAAAGTTAGACATAAAGATTGCTTCTTCTTGCTTACTTCGAAGTTCTACAGCCGATTGAATTCTGTGTGTAGAAGAGGGCGAAGAAGAATACAAGAACAGGTCGGCTGCCTGCTAAAACCTCAAGCACTAGGTCGATAATAGTCCGAGGCAAAGTCCTGGATAAGTTTCAAGTAGTGAACAACCAACAGTACCCGTTGACTTTTCTGTCCAGTCCTCGCCATTATTGATGAAGACCCAGCAGAGGTTACAGAGAAGATTGCGTTTCTCCATGTTGATCATAACTTGAAAACTTTCGAGGCAACTGTTGGTTGATGAGCGCTTCATTCTTCACAGTAGCCGTCCATTCGTTTGCTTCTGAGAGCGAAGACGTCCATAACATAGAGCAGATTGGCCCTCGAGGAGCGGACGATCCAGATCCTTCATTGGGAATTACACGTAGAAATCCCTGCCATGGTCGAACTAGCTAAAGGCACTTTGTCGAGGCGTTAAAAAGAACAGATCGTGATTATGTACATTAAGTTGAAACAACCTCCCTCACTTATAACGTTGCGAGCGAGCGACAGTGCATGACCATAATAAGAATGAGCAATGTCCCCATCTCGGCATCTCTTCCTGGGTCATGTAGACATTTCTCCTCCACTCTGTTTCCCTGCTAGTTTGTTCCGTATCCGCTGCATATATGTCACCTCAACTTCGTCACCAATATGTTCTGTACCTCACAAGTTTGATGGTTTTAGATGGATGGTATGTTCATTCTCGCAAAAAATCAATCAATCAAAAAAAAATTCAATATTGAAGAATATTACATGTGAAGAAATATTCAATCAATGTTAATTACAGATATTCTTAAGATTTTTAAGAATGTTAAATCATGTCAAATATATTTTTAAACATGGTCAATTTTAATATAATTTTAAATTATTTGAAAAAAATATTCAATTCTATGTACAATTGATACTATCGAAATAATTTAATGTTATGCATGTAAATGATATTACTTTAGTTTTAAAAATAAAAGAGTTGTATGTCATATCTAAAAAATGAAGAATTTTCTTTTTTTTCAAAACTAATTTTTTTATAGGTTTGAGATAATTTATTTAATGATTTATTAAAAAATGAAACATTTTTATTAAGTTATATTGGATAAAATAACCTAATAAAATGGATTATTTGGATAAAACTAAATGAATAAAATTCCTTGGATTGGTATTGATTTTAGTTGTTTAATAGATAAGAGTGTCATGTCATGGTGTGTTGTTTAAGTCTGAATTTGCTACATTTTATTGTTGTTTGTCAATGGTAATTGATGAACAAGCTGCAATAACATAAAAGGACTATTTATTCACGGATAGTTTTCCATTTAGATCTGGATTGATGAATCTTAGTTGTGGAGCGTGAGGTTTTTAAGTACGTAGCCTCCTTCATCATCATACTACTTGTCTTGGCATTCTTGCCAAGTGAGAAATAATAGAGTCAAACATTCACGATGACTTTAATTTTCTCTTCAAATGTACACAATGAGTAAAGCTCTGTCGTTATCACAGATCAATTCAAAAATGTAAATAAGTGAAATAGAATTCAAAATTTACTGCAAGAAATGCAATCTTCACCTCACACAAGATTTCTTCACACACTCACTTACAAGGCTTTATTTGGCAACAATGCCAAGACAAGGAAGAATCTGTTTACTTGGAAGATGGAAATTCAAGCTCCACAACTAAGATTTATCCATCCAACTCTAAATGGATGAAATCTCATGGATATAAGGCTTGACTCGGAAAAAATGTCAAGTAAGAAGAAGTCTTCTATTCAAAAAAGATGAGACTCTGTTCAAAACTAAGATTCATCCATCCAAATCTAAGTGTATGAAATTTCATGATATCATGCAACTGCTAATGTCACATACTGTAATAAAAAAGAGGACCATAATTGTGTCTACTTTTGATGATGGTTGTATAAGTTATAGTTTTACCTTACGGAGAGGCAAAATCAAATATGTAATTAAAGTCGAATATGTAACGCCAACAAAAAAAAAATAAAAATTTATTTATTTGAAAATATTAAAATTTAGAGAAAAAATGATGCTGTCAATCTTTATTCAATAATGATAATGCATTACATCTTGCAAAAAATTAAATGACAAATAGTAGGATGAAACACATCAACATCAGATAGTTATTTATCAGAACTGTTATTTTTTTAAAAAAAATAATATCTAGTCACTATTGATAAAATCCTCAATTTAATTGATGCATAAACCACTTTTATTACTTGGAAGAGATTTAGAAATTTTTGTGCTATTATGAAAGTTTTACAAAAATTGAGTTCATTAGCAATTTTGCAATGTTTATATATGAACTTATTTCATTTTTGTATTACAGTTTATTTTTAATTAGCTTTAGTGTACAAAGTAATATAGGTAAGGTTTTGTTTGAGATTGATTTACAAAATAATCATATTAATGAAAAAAATACACAATGCAAGACAAAAATTGATGGAGAGTTATGAATAATATATTTTGATTATATTACTTGAGATTACTAATAGGTTTAATAAGAAATATAGTGTCACTATGTATACATGTTTTTTTAGCTTTTCATAACACAAAGCTAGGATATGTGACCAAAATATGTATGTTTATTTTGATGTATTATGTGAATATGAACCAATTTTCTTGAGCATAGTTTTTGTTGTTGTAAGTATGTCAATAATTGTTTTAGATTGCAAAAAAATTGTAATTATGTTTATTCAAATGTGTAAAAGATTTTTTTAAATAAAAATTGATATTTGTTGATTAGTTATCAATTTTTCTTAATTAAAAAAAATTTGTAATAGAATTTATCAAATATTTGGTAAAATTAAATAGTATAAATTTTTTACAAATCATATGATGAATTCATATGATTTGTTCATAATTAAATTGTTATCTTGGATGATATTATTTTGAAAAAAAATTTATTTATTAGAAATGTGTTATAAAATTTTGTGAAATACTTTTCAAAAGATTTCAAATTTTTTTACATAATATTTTGAAATTAATCTACAGAGATCTATTGCAAATTTTTGTGTGTGAATAATTTACAACAAATCTGGTGCATCAATATTAAGATTCATTCAAACTTATTTTTTGGATGATATAACATATTGATAAAAGATTATACAAGCTAACATTGTTGTCCACCAATACATATATTTACGCCTCACAATAACACAATTGTGTATTATGCTCAAAGCAATTTATGAATCCATCAAATAAATTTTTATGAATCTTGATAGTTACACTTCAAATATTTGAGGATAAAAAATACTGAAAAAGAAAGTTTGAAGTCACTAATACCCAAAGGTGGAGCTATGATTTTTCCAAACAAATGCATACTACCATTGATTTATTTGAAAACTCACAAATTATCAAATTTGTATATCTTCAATACTTGAAAAGCTTAAATATTTGAGACAAAAACTTTGCATTAAAAAAGAATAAAATAATCAATTTTAGTTAAAATGAACTAAAAGAAATTAATGAAAAAAATAATTTATAAATTTGATCATAATAAACTTTGTATAAATATCATATTGGGGAGTAGAGAGGAGGTAGTTACTAATGATAATCCAAGAGAGGAGGTGGTTACTAATCCAAAAATAAAATAACATGGATGATAATCATGGAGAGAGTAAGAACTTATGCAAAAATCAATGACGAAATGAAGTTTACATCGAAGACACTAGCAACTAATTGTGTACTCCTCTCTTACAGTTTCTTCTTCCAACACATCCAGCTCAGTTGTAGGAATGTATTTTTCTTCCAGATCATTTCTTTACATTTGATTGTAAATGAAGCGGACACTATCAACTCATGAAACTTGAGATGGTAATAATTCGACCTCAGATAAAAGATTTGATTAATTAAATAGCAAAAACGATGGGAATACCTACCCAAAGACTTGCAATGAATATTACATCTCAAATCCTGCTTTCAATCAAAAGGGTTCAACCGAGCATATCCGGTTCAAGCTTCTACTGAAAAGAGTGAATTACATGTTCCTAATGCGGCGGCAATGCCTGTTTCTTCCAGGAATTGTCCTCATGAACACGCCCGTGCACCCGAAAATAAAATTAGCTTGAAAGAATTGTTATCATACTCGGTATCTAATGCGTTCAAAAGAATAGAAATGAAAGTCAAGCAACAGAATGTAGTCCCAGCTTGATCGAATTGGGTACATCTTAACAGAGCCTGGATTTGGTTTCTACGGAGAATCCCCAGCTTTATATTTTCAGCATGTTTTTCATGCCGTCGGGGAAGGTGAGAAGAAACAAATTGGAGCTTCCGCCGTCCTCAATTAGACTCCAAAGGCCAAAAGGGGGCATTCCGAGAATCGAACTCGGGACCTCTTGCACCCAAAGCAAGAATCATACCACTAGACCAAATGCCCGCTATATCAGGAAACAGTGTTGCTTAAAATTTAATTTATCTAAAAATCTGGTAATAGTTTTACCAGTCTTCACGTACACATAACTGAGTTTTTCAAAAAAGAGAATTTTATTTTCCTTTCTTTTCCAATTGGAATCATAGACATCGATATCAAAAAATTTAGTCTTTTCTTGAAAAAAATTTTCTCAGTTAAGTCACAAATAACTTGATCTTTATCAATCACAAGACGTTGCAGACAGCAAAACTTTCTAGCAGTAGATATTTTAGCTATTCATGGATTTTGACGTGTTAATTTTAAGGAAAAGCGAAAAATTTAAGGCAGTTAAACTTAAACTCTACGAGACATGGGAGGTGAACATTTTTCTTAAGGTTTTGAATCATAATCTGCCGTAACATCACCCACTCTTTGCATCCGAGATTCCAAAAAATTTCGGGGCTTTTGCAGAAGAAATTGAACTTTATCCTCATTATGGCTCCGAGATGAGCCACTCGTTGGAGAATGTTCGACATGTTATTACAAACCTACATCTAGAATAACCTTGTACTTTTGGCACTATTGAGGTTACAATCATATATCGAAAATATTTATAAATATAAGTGTTATCCCTTTTGACCTCATGTTTGGGTATGTGAGATGTATATTGCGTTAAATCAATTGCCTTAAAAAAGATTTTGATATATGCGTAAAAAAAATGCAATCCTTGCAGTTATTGACTTACGTTGTTTTCAATGGAAAAACAAGATCAATCAAAATATAAGTTGCTTTTCATTGTAAAGTTTGTTGGGCATAATCTCCACCTTAAATTAATTCAACCCTCTCCTTTCGTGAGATAGCAAAAATTATCTGGATACAATTGAATTTTAGGGATGCTCGCTGCGTCATCTCAATCAGTTTCATCCTCTTTGGCTTTGTGTTCTCAATCAATCGCCTCTCACAAAATAGTATTGTTAACGGAAATATATATTCACCAGAAAAATTATTGGATTTTAATCTCACTTAGCACATGGCTGAAGAAAGATGTTATCTTCACGCCATGCCAATACATGACTTCCAATTGTGTATAATCTTCTCAATTTTTGAAAGTTAGGCTAAACATGCAACATATCTCCTGAACCTGATTGCAACTTTGAACTCTTTCTGCCTTGAAAAAAAAAAAGACCTACCGTTCTTCTTTAGCATCTCAGCAATTTTGACAACAAAACTCTATTTTTTTTTTAAGCACAATGCTTGGACTGAGTAGCTGTTTTATATCTGCCTTACTCGGCAATTTTCTAACACTTTAGCTGCGTATTTTTAATATATCACGTGCGTGACGCTTGCCAAAACGGCTTCATTATAGATTTTTTGGAGTACTGACTTGTGTGAAGTTGATTGTGGTTCAACAAATAGTATTTTTATTGAGAAATATACAAAGTTGCAAAATATCTAGCAAAAATCTTAAACTGTAATAACCAAGAGAAAAGAGACTATCCATAATTGTATTATTCTCTCAGGTCAAAAGCTTTCCTGAAGGGGAGACAGTGAACTGCCTACAATCGAAGGGCGCTTCATTGAGCGCTTCGACTACTATCACTACAAACGTCGCTAACTGAGTTGAGATGCTCAGGGATTGTGATTCTACGGTCTAACTAAAAAATCTTAAATATCAACTTTTGTGTAGTTCGACAGATTGTTTGTGCTCGTAGGTTACACTTCGGACAACAATTAAAGCGTATATCAATGCTCTTGTTCGAAGTATTTTTAAAGTTCGATCTATAGTCTCCTTAATAGCATTTATCTGCAAGATTAGGATCGAAAGACTCAATCGGTTCATTTTGCCAGTGTTACGCGAAACAAGAGCTGCGAAATCTGGAAGCCTGAGGAATTAAACTTGTAATTTTGTTTCCTATTCGAATTTCATGATCGAACAGATAGAATCATATTTTTCAATGATAATTTCAGTCAAGACTAAGCTCAGTAATCTCTGAGTAGAGTGCCATAGTAATCTCATCTTCAGAAGTACCAACTGTCATTCACTACCCACCAGTAAACATAAGTCTGAGGAATGGTCTGCGGTTGACCAGTAAGGTCAACATGTCACAGCATAAACTGAGAACTCGCAGAGATTGCAGATGTAACTTACAGCGCGCAAATCGAATGCATTGGATCGTAGTCAGAAATGCCGTTCTGCAGCTCCAAGTGTAAAAGGTAAACTGGAATTGTTCATGTGATAAGTCGCTTGCATTTCGAGCACATCCCATTTTACAAGCTCCTACATAATCCATACACAGTTAGTACTAAAATGGTGGTATTTTGTGTGGACAAGAAAACTCCATAACACGAAATATAACACGACTTTGACATATGTTGCCTTCGACTGAACTCTTTGCCCAGCACGCTTCAGACTGAAGAAAGAACACCAGAAACATGTCAACAACATAATTAATTCCTGATACTTTGCTGGCTAAGCAGAAGATACAGTAGCTTTCATGCGTGAAATTGACACCATGTCTAGATTATCTGAACATATCTAACTACTAGAAATTGAATGTTACATGTTTAAACTAAGATGATAAACGGTGTCCTATAGAAGAGCAAATTAAGATGGATTAGCAAGTTAGCAATGAGATTTCGAGTCAAATCCAGAGTAGCAATTTTTCTTTCATCTGCATATATATATATATATCACAATTTCTACCCATGCAAGTCATATTCTACTGCGTGCTGTCATCGTCTAGCTGGATAAGTTTAGCAATAAGCTTCCACGACCCAAAGTAATTTGATGTTTAATCCCAAAAGGCTGCGCAGCATTAGACCACCACTACAACGCGTCATACATCTGACCAAGGAAATACTCTTGCGGAATCCTAATGAATGAGCCTACTAGAATGTCAGTCACCTTTTATTAATTGCCAATACTAGATGAAACGCTCTCATTATCATCGAAGTGGGAGCCGAAGTCTATGCTCTTTAAGGCTAAAGTTGAAGTTGAAATTAATCGAAATCAGTCAAGATGTCTCTATGGTAACACGCATGCATTCCTTCACATTCTAGGTCTGTTCCTTTCAACTGGTTAGAAAATTTTAGAAATGTGCTTAGTGAAAGTGAGAAGGAAAAGATTTCACAATGATCTCTCTGAGTTTTCAGAATGTGTGTTGCTAACAGATGATCTGAGTATTTGTGGATATCCATCTCCTATAATTTAGATAGGAGATGGAAATGCCTTGGCAGATAGAATATAAATCATATTCGATAACACCAAATTAATTCAACGCCATTCTGACATAGTGGACTACAAAGACGAAATCAATTATGAAAGTTATCGTCCCGGAGGTACCAAAGTTTCCTGTACGATTCGTGAACCTGGCCTACTAGGAGAGCTAGAATCGCTTTTCTAGACTTACCAAGTGAAGAACTGCATGTATTGAATACATGACTTGTATGTAAATGTATAAACTTCAGTTTTTTCTCTCTTCACTTCAGCATATTCTTTTCTCTCGAAAAGAATATGCTGATTATAAGCCAGCTGAAACCTGCTTCATAGGACTCTGATTTTAAGTTTGTGACCTATGAGAGTCAGTGAAACAAAAACCACTTGCATCTAGCTAGGCCCTCTACTCTACGTCCAAACCAGTATTAAAATTTTATCTAGTTTCTACACACTCAATCAGATATCTTCACTCCGCATCTGATCAGCTATAGGTGTGAATTTGTCACGCAACGTTTTGACTCACATCAAACTACGTATAGCAGAAAAAGATATATGTCTGAACATTTCAAAGGACCACCGATGCAGTGCAAGTTAATGAATATATTCTCAAGATTGCGATCGGAATGTCATAATTTTGGTAGAATGTACAAGAAAAATTTAGCAATGGAAGGTTCTAACAAAACTGACACCGGCTAACATGGGGCTGGGTCCTGTAGCATCACAAGCGTAATTTTTTTCTATTGCGCCTAATATATGTTGACTATCAAACTCCAAAAAATACAGTCTTGTCCTTCATCAGATTGCCCTGTATGGATTGCATTTTGAAATATTCTGTATTTCACAATGCATCTATGATAAACTCACTAACTACAACAAACAACTATAGTACCATCACAAGTCCGAATTCAGTACTTCTCCATGTACAAATGATGCCACAATGACTAGCTTTCGAAATTATTCTATATTCAGAGCCAATGAAATCATAACTAACCGTATCAGATTACTTGAAGTGTGATGATGCATTTAGTTAGATACCGTATCCCTCGTAACTGAATTGCAGTCCACGAGCAAAGATGGGTGGGCCATATCGCCAATCGAGTCCCCATATTGTGTAAATCCACTGAAGACAAGATAAATGGCCTAAATGTATCCTTCTCACCAATAGGTGCATCATGCAGGCCTGCTCTTTTTTATTAATGCCAGAAAACAAACAAAAGTTGTTGACCACAAATTGCCTCGCCTCCCATTTATTCCCCCAATTTACAATGTTTGAATCAGCTGCAGTGCGCATAATTGGACACAGACGACTATAAGCAACCGTCAACAGACAAATTCGCACTGAAGATATTACTTTATTTACTCCATCCAATTTACAGAGGATCTCAGCCTTCTACATTGAAGGAGGCTTCATCACCACTTTCAGACTTCCTACAAAGGGCTGCTGTAAGTAGATCAGCATGCCAGCAGATCAGTATGACTTCCATAGCTTCAATCTCCCCTCTCACTTGCAGTTGCAAGGGTTGCATGAGCACTTGTCACCGCACTTGCATCCTTCGTTGGCGCCCTCAAAGCTGTATCATTTGCAACAATTTTCAGAAGATATTAATCAATCGCTTTAGGATCCAAAAATTCATGCTTGCTAAATCACAGTTCTATGTGATCTGATGAAACGGAGTGAAGAATTCGCACAACGCCGTTCGACATCGTCTAGTACAAAATGCAAATTTCTACAGGAGACTGCCGGATTGAAACGTACCCTCTCATCTCAGAGCTCTCAAAGGTGTCCATGGACCTCGAGGAACAGCAGCTGACAATGTCAACGAAGCAGAATTTAGAATGAGACGAATAAAATGTGTTTGTTAATGACAGCAATGATATATCTTTAGCTAAAATAAAATTGAGAAATTCAATGTAAGAAAACTCTCCAAGAACCGCATTCATGGGATTTAATTCAGCTATAGTTCCAAAGACTCCAGAGTTTAATGTCATACGACATCCTCTTCTGAATCCAATTCCTCTTCTTCATGAAACCTACACTAATGTTCCCATTCAGGAGTCGAATGCAAAGAATTCCGCAAATGAGCTAATCTGCAGCCTGCTTCATAATCTGAACTCAATTGGTCTCCTGGATTGGGCCTTAAAAAAATCACTTCAACTGACCTGTTGCCAGTGCTGCACTTGCAGGCAGCGCCACATGAACAAGCAGAGCTTCCGCATCCAGACATCTTGAAATGGTTAAGAGAAGAAATTCACGCTAGGCTTTTAAAACGGACAAAGAAATGGAACGGAATGGAATGAACAAGATGTGAAAGTCAGGAGGTTCCAGAGCAAAGTGTTGTGCTGCTGAAGAATCCAGAGCTCTTAGATCCTTTATATAATGATAGCCTTTACTGATACGCAATGCAAGAGCAGGTGCTGAGAAAGATCTCTCAGAGTCTCCTGCGCCTCCGCCGGTGCAATGGGTAGTAAGTAGTAGCTGCCTTCTACGGCCATCAAGCTGGGTTTGGAGCTCATCGAAGCAGCCAGAAATGATCGTTCATGGAAGTGAGAGGGAAACTTCGTCTTCCTGTCACTGTGAGCTTCAATCAAGCTCTGAGCTGCACAGGCTTCAGCTCTGGAGCTGAGACAAGGGCCGCATTGTTAGCGTCTCTTGTCAAGTCTGTCAATAACGCGTAAGAGTCAGGTGTAAGTACTGGAGAGTTTGTATTTTATCTCAAGGATTTTATGCACAAGCGTATCTTGTTGCTGAGTGATGAAATACATTACCCTAGCTCGGCTCCAGCGGTAAGAACCTGGTTGCGCAGTGTTAGCGCATAATCATGAAAACATTGTCTTGACAGCTTTTGAATTTTGATGGGATCTGAGGCCTTTTAGTCTAGGTATGGCTGTGCGTTGTTTATTATTATGCACAGCAGAGTGTTCCTGAATCATGGAAATTATTGACGATTAGCTCTCCACAACACTATGTACTCTCTCAATTAGAATAAACTCACAGCATAGAAAACATTTAAGCATGTTCCGAAGAGCCCAGTTTGAACGGATCAATTGGCATCCGAGAGACTTGAGATGCATGATCGATATTTGATCCAAAGGCATGATTCCGCTACATGGATTCCACAAAACACGACTGCAAGGGGATGTAAATTATATAATAGCATATGTCACCAAATCTCCATGTAAATATTTTTTTCTAGTTAGCTAGCTTCTAGTATTTTTTCTTGTTCAGCTCAATTGGACATAGCGTAGGCCCGCAAATACTAAGGATTGACGTTTGATTCCTCGAATAAACGATTAAAATTTTAAAAACTTAAGAAAAAAATGAAAAATCTATAAAATTATTTTGTAAATTTAAGATTATGTTTGAAAATGAAAAAATTGAAATTACTTTATTCTCTTTCTTGTCAAATAAAAAAGTAACACCACTGCAAGTGGATGTAAATTATATAATAGCATATGTCATATTATCTCCATATTATCATCTGATCTGAAACATGAGAACATGAATCCGACTTAGCTATTCCAGCTTGTAGCACAGTTACATAGCAGTGGATAGCAGTGGCCAGCAACGTGTGTTCCAGTCTCACACTCCACACTTCGTGGTACGTCACAAGATTCTGACCCCCAGCTGCTTCCAGTGCATATGTCAAGACTAACTTTCCTCTTTGCTCCGATGCGCACAATGGCAGTGAATCGGCACCTTCAATCTGAAAAAGTGATGACTACGCACGAGAATTCTTCACCTATCCATAATTAAATCAGACTTCAGTGCAACACTATTCGGTAATACAAACCCTAACATATATGTGATGTGTTCGGGTGAGTTGTTCAATGATTTTCGACGAATTTTAATGACATGGTAAAATTATCATTTTTTTAAGCATTACAAGAATATGATTGATAATAAAAATGTAAAAAAATAAGAAACAAAATGGTGTACTTACTACATCGGTAAATGAGATGAGTCTGTGCATGAATTCACTAACCAAAAGGTACATCCACGTACGTACGATTTCTCCTATATGACAAACTTTTGACAAGACACATTATCATCGTATCCCTTAGCTCAGCTCAAGAGCCTTAATCTCTAAAGCTCAGCGCTGGATTGATACCGACTGTGACATCAAGACGTAGTTTTGGTCTTGCTTTCGTGAACAATCGCTTCCGGTTAATTTGATGAGGTCCAAACCTTGTTCGCTGGCCGTTATAAACAGATATTACCCAAGGGACCGGCAAAGGCGGAGGAGTCACTGTGATTTGTTCTCTTAGCACCTGCTGTGGAATTTTGTGTGGGTAGAGGCAGTCAGTACTTAAAGAGACTGATGCCAGAGGCTTCTTCAGCAGCACAACCCTTTGCTCTGGAACCTCCTGCGTTTCACATCTCTATCATTCCATTCCATTTCGCCGTCAGTGGTATAGCCAAGCGCCACTCACTACTCTTAATCATTTCAAGATGTCTGGCTGCGGAAGCTCTGCTTGTTCATGCGGTGCTGCCTGCAAGTGTAGCACTGGCAACAGGTCAGTCGAAGTCACAGTTTTGAACCCCATATACAATGCACATATACAGTTCTTGTAGTGCACCAATCGGTACTCATTTTTATGTGTCTCTAATTTTTTATAAGCGCCAGTTTTTGCTTCGAGTATGTGACACGAGCAAATGTTGAGACGGGGAATGCCCTCATCCGCTTTCTGCTCAATAATCTTCCATCTATGGTCAAAGTTCATGAGTTCAGTATGCAACTATTACGACTGTGATTTGAGATTTGGGTAGTTCATCTTCACTTGGAATAATTATCTTTCTCACTTGTTTCTGGTTTGTTGACTTTGGTAGCTGCTGCCCAACGAGGTCCCTGGACTCATACGACAACTCCGAGATGAGAGGGTACTTATTATCACGTCGGCTTCCATTTGTTCAATACACGTTTGCAATCTATGTTTGATAAAATCTGTTATCCAATTGTTTGGCTTCTTCACTCATTTACTCTACATGACAATACCATCATCCAAAATTATTTCTACCCACCATGACTTCATGGATCTGAGTCGGTTTAACGGTTTCTACTAATGGATTTTCTCTTTCTGATACAGCTTTGAGGGCACCAACGAGGGATGCAACTGTGGAGACAAGTTAGCAATGGAAATTGCTGTGACAAGTATCATAAAATCGTTGAGTTGACAAATCATAAAAGTTGACAAGTATCATAAAATCGAAATCATGTCGTTTATCTTCTCATAGAAGTCCTTTTTCGAAAACAGGAAATGGTGTACATTTTCCAAGATTTGAGGACTCATTTTCGAGCTCAATGTAGAATATCCAGATCTTTTTTATATCTGACGACATAAATAAATAGAGCAGAAGAATCTGCTGGAAGATTTCTGCCCAAAAGAATGGTCTTGTAAAGCCAAAGTGCATGCGTGAGAATAAGATGATTTGGACCTCGGACTTAGCAAGGATAGCAACCAGTTAACATGTGTGCTTCTGATAACATTGGTTTGCTCCTTTTCCCACGGATTTGGTGGACTCAAAAGGTTGGAGGAAGAAATGCTCCAGATCTCGCCCTCAAACTAATGAGAATGTCACAAGGGCAGGGTTGAAGTCTATTTCCAGTATGGTTCCACTGATTTTCGTTCTGAGGTGGTTATCACCATTATATATCTTTATGAGCTAGTGGAGAATGGTTTGAGATAGTTTAAAGGAACAATGAACCAAAGAAATCGGTGTACAACAGCCATACGCAAACTATTTTATTTCTCTTGTCAGTGTTCAAGAGATTTGAGATCTTGAAATTGATCTCAAAGTGAAAGGGTAAGAAAGATATAAGGGTTAAGAGATTCCAATTGGGTTTTTAATACCGTCTTGTCTCTCCAGTATATATTATTAAATCTGTTTAACGGGCGAAGGTGATTTGTTGAAACTTGATGCTTTGGACTTTCAATATCCCTATCGACATGGATGAAGATTTCATCCACAGTGGGTGTAAAAACCTTATCGAGACTGGATCAACCTTCAATTCTTCTTTTAGAGATATCTCATGATCCTTGATCTCCTGTATGATAGCAAGGCAAAACATTTGTATCATCTTTCTAATGCGAACAAAGTTGACCTCAATATCTGATTTCTCGTTGCCTCGCCTGACGTAACCCCCACCTTCTCCGTTCATTCTAGTACACATACTGATCTAAGAACCCCAATCTTAGATCAGTTTGGTGGGCTAGAAGCCATATCAAATTGAGATGTACAAAATAGAAACCTGTTCATCACCAAAAGTATTATAATATACAGTACATACCAGAACGCTAAGGTTATTGGCTATCATTCTTCAAAGCGCTTGTATCGACTCCAGTCTTTACTTTGGTACTCGACGTCACCGTACTTGATGGTTTCGTCTTCGAATGACTTCTTAATTAACATCTTCTTGGATGTAGTTCAATCTTGCAAGAAAAGCATGCTTCAATTTGAAGTGATATTCATGACTTTCACTTGTTAAAATGTGAGCAACATTTTATTATACAATACAACTATGTGATAATGGATATAAATGGAGGCATGTGTGAAGGGCTGTCTTTCGTTGTTGTGATGAGCTTAGACTTAACCATTTGTTGAGGAACATAAGTTGAATGCCGATTGACGAGGTACGCTTATTGGTCGATGGGATAGAAAAAGTCTAAAGCATGAGTCCACCACATTGTTCGAAGTACATTTTCTCTGAAGACAAAATAATAAGACAATGTTTGTCACGTATGTAAACAACTGCTAAGATACAAAGAAAAGCTACAGAATTGAGTGCATGCTTTGACGCCAGAGCTTTGGACCCGACTTTGTCCGTATTTGACCAGAGCTGGAAAACCTGATTAGATTCTTTGATTCCGTTCATATGAAGCTGAGCAGAGTGCCATTTTATAAGATATAATTTGTTGTCTGCTGATCCTTCGAAAGTTGGTTCCATTAAACGATAGACGGGTCGACCAATCGAGGGATTTTACGTTCACCAAGGACTTTATATTCACAGGCATTGAACAATTCTGAAAATACTCAAATCTTGCTGACTCTCACTCCCATTATACAGATCTTTCTGAGCGTACACCCACTCGCGGACGCCAAATCATCTCATCATCTCATTCTCACTCATGTGGTAAGTATTGAATTCCAACTTAAAATCAGTAGATGCTTCTGCAGACTTTATTTACTTCGTCACATATACAATAGAACTTAGCATTCTAAATTGATCTAAAGGATAATTCCTCAAATCCTGACGAGAATAAACCGCTCCCTGTTTTGTCTGCAGACTTCTGTAAGCAAGATTTGGAATTTTTGACACTGCTCTCTCACTTGCAGTTGCAAGGGTTGCATGAGCACTTGTCACCGCACTTGCATCCTTCTCTCGCGCCCTCAAAGCTGTATTATTTGCAACAGATTCAGAAGATATTAATCAATCGCTTTAGAATCCAAGAAGTCATGCTTGCGAGATTATTGTTCGGTGACGGTTCAGTGCTGTAGCACCGAAGAGGAAAGGAACCAAAACAACAGGATTACAGATTCAATCAACCATGCATTGCAAATGTGGTCAAGATATGGAAACAGACGGGATCATAAGTACCCTCTCATCTCGGAGCTCTCGAATGTGTCCATGGACCTCATCGGGCAGCAGCTATCAAAGTCAGCAAACCACAGTTTAGAAAGATATGAGAGACATTTATTCTAAGTTAATATCAGCTATCTAAAACTCAAACCACAGTGTAGATATTTCTCGAGTGTAGTTGCTCATGATACATACTGAACCCATGATCTTTGGCCATCATTTCAAGATTTTCTGATCAGAAAGAGGAGTAAGCCATTCTTCAAGGTCTATGTTATGTACATTGAATGCGTCTCAACAAATGCTCCTATCACATGCTCGAAGCAAAAGCATATGTGAATAACACAAATACATAAATATGAATTACGAAGAGCTACAATTGTTCTTTGCATCTGGGTTTCAAAAACGTCGATTCAACTGACCTGTTGCCAGTGCTGCAGTTGCAGGCAGCGCCGCATGAACAAGCAGAGCTTCCGCAGGCAGACATCTTGAAATGGTTGAGAGAAGAAAGTAACGCTCGGCTATACCGCGGACTGTGAAATGGAATGGAATGAAAGAGACGTGAAAGTCAGGAGGTTCCAGAGCAAAGGGTTGTGCTGCTGAAGAATCCACACGCATCAGTCACTTTATGTAGTGGTTGCCTCTACCCACACTAAACTCAACAGCCGGTGCTGAGAAAACAATTCACAGAGTCTCCTACGCCCTTGCCAAAGCCATGAGTGGTCTGTTCCTCTTACGGTCATCAAACAGACTTTGAAGCTCATCGAAGAGGCCAGAATTGTCCACCAAAGTGAGACTCATAGTGCATCTCACCGTCCGCATAATTCAATTGCTGAACTGTTAAGATTTCAGCTCTCGAGGTAGGCAAGGGTCTCTCTGGATTTGTTTCTTGTCCAGAGTTTGTCAGTGTGTATCAATCGTCACAAAGTTAAATCCTCATAGCATTAGGATAATCTATACTGCATACTGCACTTATAACGATTGTATTATCTCCATCAGATATCTACCTATTACCACAGCGCTTTTAGAACATCGGAGAAAAACGTCAATATGTCGAATATGGAAAACAGATTTTACTAACTCTCGTCGTGTTTCTTTTCGAAGTTATGGTATCATCCTTAGAAATCTTATCAGTATGTGCTTGATCAGAAATATATACATTTTCGTTGTTAAGCTGGATATGAAACTAGTTTATAGTGATTTGGAAAAGCTTCAGATTCGATTGATGTGTTTTTTTCTTCTAAAAAATAAAAATTGTCTTTTAGTCTCTTAAGGATGTTTCAATAGAGGTCTGACATGGATTTTTCATTCAGAAACATGATGCAAACACATGATTGATTTATCATACATGCTTCGTTCTCATGTAAAAACACTACATTTGACTCCGTAGGAAACTTTACTTTGTCTACTTTGTGAATATAAAATATTGACGATGAATTTAGCTAAAGAATATAAATTTTGGCTTAAGCACCTAAATCTGCACTCCTCGGTATGTTTATGCGACACACAGAAGAGTCAACTGCCCAGCATGCTATACTCCCCTAGGCTTTCGCCGGATTTCTTCATGCTATAGCGTCAGATGAGCTGCCACCATTACGTGCGTGACTTGCAACTCGCAAGGCGCCTGTTGCCTGATCATTTTGATCTGCCTCTCTCCGACTGCTCGATCTTACACAGCTCAGCAGTTGTTATCATTTTAGGAGTATACCGTTACTGCCCTGAGTAGATCCAAGAAAGAACACTGAGCTTAGTTGCCTTTATTCAGATAACAGTGACATGTAGCTGCAACACATAGATTGACTCTTCACAGCAAAGACCGTCCAAAAATACTGACAACTGCAAACAGCCCTTTGATTCCGAGTTCCCAAGGCTATATTACCTTCTTAAATATTTCGAGAAATGAACACTTCAGTTCCCAGTTCTCATCAATCATTCGGAACATTACATTTACTTTATTCAAGGCAGTTCCCGTCAGCAGATGACATGGCCTCCCAGGATTGAAGCTCTGTGCATGGCACTAAAGTATGCAACACTCAGATGGGCAGGGACACCGTCGTCTCACTTTGGTCTCAAAGGCCTTGGCCACAGAACATGAAGCCCGCCTACGGAGACTTTTTTTAGACTCTCGTGGTTTAGTTCAGCGGGTCCTACGCTGCCATGGAACTGACCCGGAGCTCACGTGCATGCCACTGTGGACGTATTACGAAGTATTGACGAATTTCCCAATGGATCATGCGAACGGGATATGAGACTGTCTCACACTGACGAAGTGGGTAAATATGTTTGTGCAAGGTCCACTCTCTCCTTTCATGGATGGAACCATCGACAAGTCAACGAACGGGGCCCAGTACGAGACTTGCGTTGTCCAACCAGCTGAGAAATGATTTATCCCTTTCCCGAGGACAGAATACAGTAGACCAGTGGGAAATCACTCCCATTGCTATAATATATACAGTTACCGAACTTCCTCTGCCTACGAGTTCCGCACAGTGCCTGTGCGTTCCAATTTTCGCATTTTCAACATCTTGTCATGTGAGACCCAGTAGTTTGACAATCTCACGACAGGACTGGAGAGGCCGGGGGCGGGGTTCCATCCTCGCCGCCTGGGACACCCTCGAAGGTCCACCGAGTTGCGGGTTCAATTCCTGCCTGGGCCATCCTTTTGCCTTGAACGTATGAACTTCTCAAAGTCTGGCTGGAATTGCGTCAACCTCTTGCAATCGACTATTTAGCTATGTTCTGCATATGGCAATGTGTACCGTTGTCTTACGACAAATGTTTGGCCACGGAATGAATGGATGCGATTTGAAAACCCGTAGCATTCTTCCAAGCAATTTGAGCCACGTGACGAAATGTGCAAAGTCCGAGACTGGAACACACTTATCCGCACACTGCAATGTAACTGTGATGCAAGCTGGCTTAGCTTTGTCATCATAATACAAAACAACAGCTTTGTCAGAGTAAATTTTATCTCATCTTTCAGATCAGATCATAATCTGGACGCATATGCTATTATGATATTCACATCCCCTTGCTGTAGTGCTTGGTGGTAAGCATCAAGTGGAAACGTGCCTTTCGATATATCGATGGCATTTGATCCGTGCAAGCTGGCCTCTTCAGTTGATGCAAATTTTTTTCCTATGCTATGACTGTACTCTATTTCAGAGGACGTACTGCAGCATTGTTCACTATTTTCCATAATTCACAAGCAGATACTAATGTTTACAAGACTTCACGCACAAGGAGTTATACAGCGAAGCATTTCACGCTAGTGCAGAGATAGTTTTATGTGTCTAGATTCCACTAAACTACATCGTTAAGTAAGATAAGACTCTGCATGAAATCACTAACTAAAAGGTACTTCCACGTACGTACGATTTCTCCTACATGACAAACTTTTGACAAGACACATTATCATCGTATCCCTTAGCTCAGCTCAAGAGCCTTATTATCTAAAGCTCAGCGCTGGATTGATACCGACTGTCACATCAATATCAAGTTTCGGTCTTGCTTTCGTGAACAATAATTTCTGGTTACCTCGATAAGCGACAAACCCTGTTTGATTGGCCGTAAGAGGCAGCTACTACACAAGGCACCGGCGAAGGCGTAGGAGACTCTATGAGTGATTCTCTCAGCACCTGCTGTGGAATTTCGTGTGGGTAGAGGCAGTCAGTACTTAAAGAGACTGATGCCTCTGGATCCTTCAGCAGCACACCCCTTTGCTCTGGAACCTTCTTTCACGTCTCTTTCATTCCTATCCATTCCATTTCGCTGTCAGTGGTATAGCCAAGCGTTCCTTTCTTTTAATTCAAGCATTTCAAGATGTCTGGCTGCGGAAGCTCTGCTTGTTCGTGCGGCGCTGCCTGCAACTGCAGCACTGGCAACAGGTCAGTTGAACTTACAGATTTTTGAATAGATTTCTTGACAGTGCAGATGTACAATTATTATCTTTTCTTCGCAGAAGCTTTTGTTCCTAGCCTGTTCTAGGAGCAAGATACCGACAAATGCATAACCTCTGATTGTATCATGCTTGTCTAAAGTCCAGAAATATTTCATGGGTCATTTGAGTTTTAGATAATTCACCTGAACCTTGGGACAAATATGTCTCTCATTCCTCTCTAAAATCCGGTTTTCTGACTTTGATAGCTGCTGCCCCATGAGGTCCATGGACACAGTCGACAACTCCGAGATGAGAGGGTACTTATCATCCCACCGGTTTCTATATATTGAATACACATTTGCAGTCAATATAAAGCAAGTTTTTGACTCCTTTACTTATTTGCACTATATGACTATATCATGAACGAACATTGCTTCTTGAATCTGAGTCGGTTTATCAGTTTCTACTAATGAATTTGCTCTTTTTTATACAGCTTTGAGGGTGCCAACGAAGGATGCAAGTGTGGAGATAAGTGCTCATGCAACCCTTGCAACTGCATGTGAGAAAGAAGTATCATAAAATCGAAATCATGTCGTTTATCTTCTCAGAGAAGTCCTTTTACGAAAACAGGAAATGGTGTACATTTTTCCAGATTTGAGGACTCATTTGCGAACTCAATGTAGAATATCCAGATCTTTTGTACATCTGGCGACATAAATAAAGAGAGCAGAAACATCTGCTGGAAGATTCTGCCCAAAAGTCTGGTCTTGTAAAGCCAAAGCGTATGCGTGAGAATAAGATGATTTGGACCTCGGACTTAGCAAGGATAGTAAGGATTGTGATAGACATGCAATTAGATTTGCCCCAGAGCGGGTGTTAGTACCTTAATTAGTCCTCCAGTAATTCTTTTAGGGATGCTTTTTGTCCTACTTGATAGCAAGACAAAATCAGAGATTTTCATCGACCTATGGCAAAGAATGTTGAGCTCACTGTCTGAGTTCTGGTTGCCTGAATTGTAACAATCTCCATTCATTCTATTACACATAAAACTTAAACCTTGGATTATAAGAGAACTCGAATAACTATCAAACTAAGATTTAAATAATAAGAACAGTAATCAGCCATATGATATGTCACAACGCATACCACAACCATAGGTAATTCGCTATTATTTACTAAAGCGCTTGTATGGACTTCACTCTTACTTTAGTCCGACTCAAAGTGACCTTGTTTTATCGTGTTGTCCTTTGATGACCTGTTAATCTCCCTGATTTTGGTTAATTTTTCGTGTTAAGCATAATTCACTTTGAAGTGATCTTGATGAATCTAAGGGTTTAAAATTTGAGCGACACTGTATCAAAAACATACAACCATTTCGTAATGGAACGCAAGGAGACACGTGTGACAGGAAAAATTGGTTTCTGATCGGCTGTTGAATTTGTGTGATGAGCTTAGATCTTATCATTTTTTGAGAAACAAAGTTTGATTTATTGATTTATGATCATATACACCTATCATATAACTGTAAATGTTCATAAAGAGATGAAGTGTATCACACAACAAAACCTAGATTAAATAGATAAATAAAGAAATCATCTTTGTCACGT